TACTCTAAACTGCCGCATGCGCCTGCCGCAGAGAACCTGACAGGCTGAGCTCTTCCTGTAGACTAAACTGCTGCATGCGCCTGCCGCAGAATGCAAAGCGGTACCGCTGCTTCCCCACGCAACCATTATTCTAGGATCTCACTTTGCAATGCATGAGCAGTATTTTCACGCACTTACCGCAAAAATTGTCTTCATACACCAACTATCGGAACATTTACAAAGATATGAACTCTGCATGCTATGCATGCCGTTAGTAATATATCCTGTCAGCGTGCCTGCATGTGCTGTATTATCGTGCTGGTATACAAGTACTCAGGTGTTAGTATACAAGTACTCACGTGTTGGTATACAATACTCAGCTGCTGGTATACAAGTACTCAGATGCTCATATATAAGTACTCAGGTGCTGGCATATTAAGTACTCAGGTGCTGGCATATTAAGTACTCAGGTGCTGGCATATTAAGAACTCAGGTGCTGGTTTACAAGTACTCAGGTGCTGGTATACAGGTACTCAGGTGCTGGTATATAAGTCCTCAGATGCTGGTATATAAGTACTCAGGTACTGGTATATAAGTTAATATATAAAACTGGCTAAATAGAGTACAGGTATGTAAGTATGTAATAAGGAGAAGGTTGAGGAGGTATGAGGTAGATTCAAGCATTCAGTGTTAGAGTGTCCAGAAGAAGTTTACAGGTATAAGAGGTTGAGTGAAGGTGGGAAGAGGAGCGAGTGATGGAATGAAAAGTTAATGGGGGCAGAAAAGGAAAAAAATAGCATACGCGAGGTTTTTACAACGTAGAAGTGAAATGTGGAGAGCAGAGAATATGGAGAGAGAGAAAAAAATAGTTAAAAGAGTGATGAGGAAGTACAAAAGAAGAGCCAATGCGTGGTGAGGATTTATCAGCAAATTTGGCTGAGAATAAGAAAGAAAATGGGAGGAGATTAATAAGTTAAGAAGAACTAGGAAACAAATAATTTAACAGATAAAAATAAAAGAGGAAAAATGTTAGATGGGCAGGTGAAAGTACCGGGAAGATAGAGGGAATATTTTTAAGTTGCTAAATGATGAAGAAATAAGAGGCACTGATTTCATGCATTGGGTAGGGAGGTATAATATCTCGTAGGAGTGAGGGAGAGTTAGATGCGAGTATAGGAGTAATGAATGGGGAAGTGCGTAGAATTAGAAAGGGGTAAAGCAGCTGGAATAAGTGGGATTAAGACAGAAATATGAAAATCAGGTGGAGTGGTTGTGTGTATGTTCATATGCATGAAAGAAGGTAAGGTTCCTGAAGACTGTCAGAGAGTATATATAGTTCCTTTGTATAAGGGATAAGGGGACAAGAATGAGAGTAATAATTTTAAGAAAAAACCCGTTAAGTATACTGGGTAAGTTGTATGGCAGAATCGTTATTGAAAAAATAGGGGTAAGACAGAGGGTAGGAGTGCAGAGGAACAAATTTGATTCAGGATGGGTGGGAGATGTGTAGACCAACTGTTTACACTGAAGTATGTAAAGGAACAGTACTTAGATAAAGGTAAGGAAATTTTTCTTGTTTTTATGGATTTAGAAAAGGCATGTGACAGTGTGGATGAGAGAGTAATGTGGCAGATGTTGCTAGTGTATGGAATAAGTGGTAGCTTACTAAACGAATGTGTTATGTCATCATTCGTTGCTTAACATATATATAGATGGGCTTTATAAAAAAGAAGAGAATATTAATGTTTTGGACCAGGCGAGGGATTAACATAGTGAATTAGATGGTTCCTGGGTGTCGGACACTACGCCGACGGACATTTCACCAACGGACATTTAAATGAATGTACATATTGCCGAACTTTCATTCACCTTAACTTAACCTAACCTAATTATCCGTTCGGCCAAATAGCTGTTGACGCAATGTCCGTTCGGCCAATTATCCTTCGGTCAAATGTCTGTCGGCTAAGTGTCCGTCAGTCATCTGTCCAATCATGGAATTAGATACAAAGCGGCAGTTGTCATGGTTTCTCTTTGCAGATAACTCAGTTCTTTTGGGAGATTGAAAAGAGAAATTGCAAAAGTTGGTGGAGGAATGTGGGAGGGTATGTAAAGAAGGAAATTAAAAGTGACTATTGACAAGATTAAGGTGATAATGAGAGTAATAAAAAATCTAGGCTGTGAAAGTTTGAATATTAGGTTAAAGGGAAGGAATACTACTTCTAATAATAATAATAATCTTTATTTATACAAGTACATATACAGGCCTAGTTGACATCAGTGACATACTATAAAGAAAATCCCTTGTTATGCAGAGCATTTCGCGCAAATTAGGTGAATTTTGTCCCCAGGATGCGACCCACACCAGTCGACTAGCACCCAGGTACCTGTTTTACTGCTAGGTGAAGAGAGACACCAGATGTCTTATGGAAACACGTCCTAATGCTACGGGACACTGTGGATGTGTTCAGGTATTTGGGATTGGCATAATACCAGAATGTACTCTGGTACATTCTGGTACCAACGGTTACATGTGTGTGTGTGTGTGCATGAGTTTTAAACGTTATAGCGAGGATTACTCGGAGGCAGTAGAGATGTCATGTTTGAGAGCAATGTGTGGTATAAATATTTTGGAAAGAATTCGGATCATAGAGATTAGGTGTGGAGTTACGGAAATCATAATTCAGAGGGTTAAGGGGTTTTTGAGGTGGCGCGGGACCAGCTACCTGGGCTGGGAAAGACATCCGGAGAAGTGACACTCAGAACTATCAGAGATCCACAACCACCGTCCTGTCAGTAGCGCCCGTTTAAGTTCCGTTAAATGTAGCACAACCACACGATCATACTAACAAAAGAGTGACGCAGTGCACTAACTGTTGCATTGCTAGGTGGTAATAGTCAAAGTAATCAAGTACACAAAACAATCATGCAGATACAAAAGAGGCACATCCAGTACTTTTGTTTTCACTGTTGTAAGAGCTTAAAGTCTCAGTCGTGTAGATATCTGCAATATATGTGAAAAATGGGTACATGTAATGTGTACATAAATGATTTAGTGAACCGACAGGACGATAAATTAGACATTTGTGCATCACTTGGGTTTCTTTATTGAGGAAGCCGCTGCTTGGCGAAACGTTTCCACAAGATACCCTAGTGTTTCACATGTAATGTGTACCCAGCTCACATCTCTTGATGTTTATAACGAACTAAGGGTCAGTAGTGCCAATTTTAACTTTATATGTACAGAAATGCATGCTTAATAAAGACCAAACAACATAAAACCCACAAATGATGCAACATTATGGCTACACTGTGCTAATGGTGTGAAGAAACACAGAAAATACCGTAGATGTGAATCGTGTTCCGGATGTGTTCATAACGGAAATGTTTTTATTCAGAGGAGCGATGCCCCTCGTTAGTTTGTATACGATACACATTGATACTGTTACCATGTAGTCGCACCTTGAGGATGTGTCAGTGTCTTCAGTAGTAAATAGTTATGTGGGGGGTCCTTACACCTGCTCACTGAGTAGTATCTTCAAGACTGTCCGTTAATACAGCCCGTTAATATAACACACATGTTACCCTTATTTACCTGGCAGTAAATAGGATCCAGGGTGTTAGTATTATACACCTGTTCACCTATGATTTCACCTTTGTTTATGTAAGAAACTAGAGATAAAACTTTATGTCACATTTGAAAGTCTGCTATATTTCCTCATCTACATTTGTTCAAAGCATTGACTACTATTCGTATTTAGAGTGAAGGATAATTATTGAAGATTGATGTATCTAGTGTAAAAGAAGTGTTGCAGTTTTGTAGTGTGAAGTAACAATGAAGTTTTGTGTGAATCTAATGTAAGATAGTCATGCAGTTGCCTTTTCATTTAGTGTAAGGTAATCATGCAGTTTCCATTCAGTCTAAGGTAATCATGCAGTTTCCATTCAGTCTAAGGTAATCATGCAGTTTCCATTCAGTCTAAGGTAATCGTGCAGTTTTCTTGGCATATAGAATATAAATAATTATTGCAGTTTTCTTTTCGCAAGTTTTTCTTGTCTTATATCAAAATACATTTATTAGGCTCAAAATATACCACTTTTAAAATTAACGTTTATTAAGCATAATACATAATTTGATACATATATTTATATTAACATAATTCTCCTCATGACTATACGGTATAATGATTTTATTACGTAAATGGTCTATCGTTATATTAAAATGTACAATGCATTTAAATTAAAGAGGCTTTGCATGAGGGAGTTAAAAATCATACATAGAATGATAAAAACAGAGAAACAGGATGACAGAAAAAGGGAGAATGAAGGTGACACAACAATGATAGAAGCAAGGACACATACAGAAAGAGATGACAAAGAAAAGTAATGGCGGAGAATAATTAAAATGATGAAGATCAAACAAATATGTGTTTGTGTGATATCAGAGATATTTCTGCACATGTGTACCACTAACACGACACTTGTCTGGAATGTGTACCACCAAGTGCACCACCAACACGACACTTGTCTGGAATGTATACCACCAAGTGCGCCACCAACACGACACTTGTCTGGAATGTGTACCACCAAGTGCACCACTAACACGACACTTATCTGGCATGTGTACCACCAAGTGCGCCACTTGATAGTTGGTGTGCACTCACCGCCAGTCTGGTCGCTGGTGTGTGTGTGTGTGCATGTGCTCGTTGCCAGACTGATAATAATTGGTGTGCACTCACTGCCAGTCTTGTCGCTGGTGTGTGTGTGTGTGTGTGTGTGTGTGTGTGTGTGTGTGTGTGTGTGTGTGTGTGTGTGTGTGTACTTGTTGCCAAACTGATAATAACTGGTGTGCGCTCACTGCCAATCTTGTCGCTGGTGTGTGTGTGTGTGTGTGGTGTGTGTGTGTGTGTGTGTGTGGTGTGTGTGTGTGTGTGTGTGCTTGTTGCCATACTGATTAATAATTGGTGTGCACTCACTGCCAGTCTGGTTGCTGGTGTGTCCTCATTTCCCAGCTTAGTTTTGTGACTCCTTTAGAGGTCTCTTTGTGCATCGAACTTGACGAGAACGTAGGCGGAGTCCTTGTTAGTGTTCCCGAAGACCCTCTTGATTACCATGTTCCTTTCCAGGAAGTATCCCCCGATGTCGCTGCCAATGTTAACTTCGTGGGAATAAACTACGACCATCTGAAGAATTAACAAAGTCTGCTAGATATTATCCAGTTAATGAATTTTAACACCGAAGATTTTCACAAAGTTCATAAAAGAAAAAGTTGGTTTACGTCTAACTTTAACGTCTGAGTAACACTAGGCCTATGCTGAGAGACAGAACTTTAAAATATATCGATTGGGCACAATGGGCACATTGCCAAGGGCCTATGCTAAAGCTTTTGGCTCCGAAAAATCTTATATTAGTCCAAAATGAGAAAGGAAAACAGCTAAATCAAACTTGCTTTACTATAATTACTTTATAAAAACATTGTTTTTTCTATATATCAAACTTGGGGGAGGGAAGGGGACTAAGACGATGAGTTTCCCCGACCTACGAAGACTAATCCGACCATTCTGATATAGAGACTTGAACATCGAGCGTCAGATCACGGAACGGGTAGCTTTTAACCCCGTGGTGACTCCTAAAAGTTACTTGCCATGTCTTCAAATTATGTCTTAGAATTTGTATTGATAAAGCCACTGGATGGCGAAACGTCTACAGTCAAGATACCCAGATGTTGCACATGTGTCTTAATTTCACTACTACTAATGCTACTACTAATATCACCTACTTTGACAATTATGACCTATTTTATGACCACTAATGTGCTTACGACTACCACTAGTACTACCACTACTACTAATAGTGACAACAACAACAACAACAACAGGCCCCGTGGTGGCTAAAGCTTCACACGGCGAGGGTTTGAGTTCGATTCCCGGCTAGGGTAGAAACATTGGGCATGTTTATTTACACCGGTTGTCTGTGTTCCCCATCAGTAAAATGGGTACCTGGCTGTTAATCGACTGGTGTGGGTCGCATCCTGGAAGAAAACTGACCTAATTTACCCGAAATGCTCTGCATTCCGTGCATTGGATTGCGTGCAGCCAACAGTAACAGCCTGATTGATCAGGCCCTGATCCACCATGAGGCCTGGTCACAGACGGGGCCGCGGAGGCGTTGACCCCTGAACTCTCTTCAGGTAAACTCCAAGTAATAACAAGGGGTTTTCTATATAGCAGTATGTCATTGATGTCAGCTAGACCTGTATACCTTGTATATGTACTTGTAGAAATAAAGACATATTATTATTATTATTATTATTATTATTATTATTATTATTATTATTATTATTATTATTATTATTATTATTATTATTATTATATGCAGTTTCGATAATAAAAAAAATTAACTGATAAAGGTAATATGAAAACTAAAAAACAGGGTCTCCAATTAATATAAAAAAAATAGAATGATGACCCAGCTGGTGAAACTGACCTCAAACTCCGGGAGAACATCGAGCTTGGTGTTGATGAGCAGGTCGAGGTCAGTGCCACTCATGTCGAGCACTAAGAGGTCGATGGTGGTGGTGATGCCGGCCGCGTACACTAGGTTCTCCAGGGGAATACTCTGTGCCTCAAACACTTCGTATTGTGTACCATTCTGTGAGAAATAGAAGGATGGGGAACATTTGCCATAAAGACACAGATGGGAAACATTGCCAGTCTTGTTAAAAAAAAAGGTGCGTACACCAAAAGGAGACTTATTAGTACGATATTTTGCTTACATGATGCTTTATCAACTACTGATAAAGTACTTGATGAGGCTTTATAATGTACTTGATAAAGTACTTGATGAGGCTTTATAATGTACTTGATATAGTACTTGATGAGGCTTTATAATGTACTTGATAAAGTACTTAAGGCTTTATCAAATACTTGGTGAAGTACTTGATAAACCTTTATGAAGTACTTGATAAAGCACTTGATGAGGCTTTATCATGCACTTGATAAAGTACTTGATGAGGCTTTATCATGCACTTGATAAAGTACTTGATGAGGCTTTACCATGTACTTAAAAAGTCTCGTGTAGATGCTTTACATAGCTGAATTTACATAAAAGCCACAAAGACGACACTATATCGCTATGGATGCTTCATTAAGGGCAACGTTGTCCTTCAATAAGTATCCACACTGGCAAAGTGTTTTCTTTCCAGCATGTCGATATCTCATACCTTAAAAATCTAGACTAAAAGTTTTCAGCCTACTTTGTCCGTTTTCAGTGCCTAGGCCTATGTTAAGCCCGAAATGTCTAGGCGTGCTAGTGACCTTCTTTGTAATTAATATTTTATAATATATAAACCACACATTGTAAGCTTAGCAAGGAAATTAACATTTTCATTTTCATTCAAAATACCCCATGATACTACCTGTGGAAAATTTTTAATTTTCCTAAATTCAGCATGTGTATATTTGAATAATATAACAATTGTATATTAAAATGTGATGCTGATTTGACCCTTCGAGAAATTTCGAGTGAGGGGGGGGGGATGTGAAACAGCCACAGAGTGACGCGGAGGAGATAACACCATATTGAAAATGAAAGTGTAAACACTGATCCTTTAATTGTGCAATGTAATCGGGCGTCATCGAAGTTCAATGGGAGGATATCGGCCTCAATCCGTATTTTAGAAACTGATGACATGTTCCCACTGAAGAATTGGGATAAATAGTGTGGTAAACCCTTACAATTCGGCAACAAGAATGGAAAAATAAAGGGCACTCCCAGGTGCATACCTTAGCTACATGATGCTTACCCATAGTGTACAGTAGTTTTGCATTGGCCATTGTAAATTCTAGCTCTTGTGGTATCATTAGGGTGTGTTTCCAAAAAATAATAACTATGAGCCAGTAATTAAATGGTAAGTGGTAATACAAATTTCTTTTTTAATAACACCCTTATAATTTTTGTATAATAATAATATTCTGTGTACCCACCAAGCCTAATCATATACAGTCCACATTATTTTATAATTTAGGTGTCCCATAGCTCGTTCGCTAGTGCACTTAGCTCACACACTGAGGTCCGGGGTTTGAATCTCTGCTGGTACGGCATGGGTTCGATACCCCAGCTAGTTGCAGTGTTCTTATTGATTAAATACCACTCGTTCATGGCTACAATAATATAAAATACTGCTTATGGAGGCTAGTACACCAAACGGGGAGAAGAACGAAATTAGCTCAGAGGCATCCACACCACCGTATGTCTTCAGATCAAGGTAAAACACCTAGCTCTGCTGGGTACTTGATTCTTGTAGGATTTGGTTGTGCTGTGGGTTAGAGCATCATGTGATTTTCATCACCATGAGGCGGGCCAAAACGACATGGGTTCGAGTCCTTGGCTAGTTGCAGTGTTGTTATATATATATATATATATATATATATATATATATATATATATATATAATATATATATATATATATATATATATATATATATATATATATAATATATATATATATATATACATATATATATGTATATATATATATATATATATATATATATATATATATATATATATATATATATATATATATATATATATTTATATATATATATATATATATATATATATATATATGTATATATATATATATATATATATATATATATATATATGTATATATATATAATATATATATATATATATATATATATATATATATATATATATATATATATATATATACAATATATATATATATATATATATATATGCAATAAGATCACAGTAAACAGGTGATTCCAGAATTGAGAAAGTTGTACCAAGCAAGTCCATGGTCGAAAGGAATATAACTGAATCATATTTCATAAAAAGCAGTTTTGAAAATAATATGAATATTTCCTTTGGTTTATATAAATTAGATTCATTTATAATTAATAAAAGTTGGGAAGAATTTAATAATGCACTTGACAAATAGTAAATCTTATTTCTTGGGTAGAGTGCTGTGTTAGTGGGATGTTGTGAGGACCTGCCTAGTTGGGACCAGCAAGCCTGCTGCAGTGTTCCTTTCTTATGAGTCGGATGTAGTCGCGCATCAGGTGTTTGCTTTGTTGTGGGATGTGATGGTGAGGTGTGGTCCCGACCTTTATTTGCCTACCTTTGATGCATTGTTTTTATAGTTCCTTGATAATGTGAGAGGTCACGAAAGCGCTTGGAATTTATCTATCCTTTCACAGTGGTTGTTTTGCATATATACATACATATATATATATACATAATATATATATATATATATATATATATATATATATATATATATATATATATATATATATATATATATATATATATATATATAATTCATAGATGGGGTTGTAAGAGAAGTAAATGCGAGGGTCTTGGCAAGAGGCGTGGAGTTAGAAGATAAAGAATCACACACAAAGTGGGAGTTGTCACAGTCGCTCTTTGCTGATGACACTGTGCTCTTGGGAGATTCTGACGAGAAGTTGCAGAGGTTGGTGGATGAATTTGGTAGGGTATGAAAAAGAAGAAAATTAAAAGTGAATACAGGAAAGAGTAAGGTTATGAGGATAACAAAAAGATTAGGTGATGAAAGATTGGATATCAGATTGGAGGGAGAGAGTATGGAGGAGGTGAATGTATTCAGATATTTGTGAGTGGACGTGTCAGCGGATGGATCTATGAAAGATGAGGTGAATCATAGAACTGATGAGTGGAAAGGGTGAGTGGAGCACTTAGGAGTCTGTGGAGACAAAGAACTTTGTCCTTGGAGGCAAAGAGGGGAATGTATGAGAGTATAGTTTTACCAATGCTCTTATATGGGTGTGAAGCATGGGTGATGAATGCTGCAGCGAGGAGAAGGCTGGAGGCAGTGGAGATGTCATGTCTGAGGGCAATGTGTGGTGTGAATATAATGCCGAGAATTCGTAGTTTGGAAGTTAGAAGGAGGGGCGGGATTGCCAAAACTGTTGTCCAGAGGGCTGAGGAAGGGTTATTGAGGTGGTTCGGATATGTAAAGAGAATGGAGCGAAACAGAATGACTTCAAGAGTGTATCAGTCTGTAGTGGAATGAAGGCGGGGTAGGGGTCGACCTAGGAAAGGTTGGAGGGAGGGGGGTAAAGGAGGTTTTGTGTGCGAGGGGCTTGGACTTCCAGCGGGTATGCGTGAGCGTGTTTGATAGGAGCGAATGGAGACAAATGGTTTTTAATACTTGACGTGCTGTTGGAGTGTGAGCAAAGTAACATTTATGAAGGGATTCAGGGAAACCGGCAGGCCGGACTTGAGTCCTGGAGATGGGAAGTACAGTGCCTGCACTGTGAAGGAGGGGTGTTAATGCTGCAGTTTAAAAACTGTACTGTAAAGCATTCTTCTGGCAAGACAGTGATGGAGAAAGTTTTTCTTTTTCGGGCCACCCTGCCTTGGTGGGAATCGGCCAGTGTGCTAACAATAATAATAATAATATATAATATATATATAATATATATATATATATATATATATATATATATATATATATATATATATATATATATATATATATATATATATATATATATATATATATATATATAATATATATATAACAAGTCAAAGAAAGAAAATCTCCAAAAAGAAAATACTTTCATCATCATTCAACACTTTCACCTCACTCACACATAATCACTGTTTTTGCAGAGGTGCTCAGAATACAACAGTTTAAAAGCATTTATGTATAAAGATACACAACATATACCTCCAAACTGCCAATATCCCAAACCCCTCCTTTAGAGTGCAGGCATTGTACTTCCCATTTCCAGGACTCAAGTCCGGCTATATAAATATAACCGGTTTCCCTGAATCCCTTCACTAAATATTACCCTGCTCACACTCCAACAGCTCGTCAGGTCCCAAATACCATTTATCTCCATTCACTCCCATCTAACATGCTCACGCACGTTTGCTGGAAGTCCAAGCCCCTCGCCCACAAAACCTCCTTTACCCTCTCCCTCCAACCTTTTCGAGGACGACCCCTACCCCGCCTTCCTTCCCCTACAGACTTAAACACTTTCCATGTCATTCTACTTTGACCCATTCTCTCTAAATGACCAAACCATCTCAACAACCCCTCTTCAACCCTCTGACTAATACTTTTATTAACTCCACACCTTCTCCTAATTTCCACACTTCGAATTTTCTGCATAATATTTACACCACACATTACCCTTAGACAGGACATCTCCACTGCCTCCAACCGCCTCCTCGCTGCAGCATTTACAACCCAAGCTTCACACCCATATAAGAGTGTTGGTACTACTATACTTTCATACATTCCCTTCTTTGCCTCCTTAGATAATGTTTTTTTGTCTCCACATATACCTAAACGCACCACTCGCCTTTTTTTCCTTCATCAATTCTATGATTACCCTCATCCTTCATAAATCCATCTGCTGACACGTCAACTCCCAAATATCTGAAGACATTCACTTCTTCCATACTCCTCCTCCTCAGTCTGATATCCAATTTTTCTTTATCTAAATCATTTGATACTCTCATCACCTTACTCTTTTCTGTGTTCACTTTCAACTTTCTACCTTTACACACACTCCCAAACTCGTCCACTAACCTTTGCAATTTTTCTTTAGGATCTCCCATAAGCACAGTATCATCAGCAAAAACTAATTGTCAATTCCCATTTTGTATTTGATTCCCTATAATTTAATCCTACCCCTCTCCCGAACACCCTAGCATTCACTTCTTTTACAACTCCATCTATAAATATATTAAACAACCACGGTTGACATTACACATCCCTGTCTAAGACTTACATTTACCGGGAAGTAGTCTCCCTCTCTTCTACACAACATAACCTGAGCCTCACTATCCTCATAAAAACTCTTTACAGGATTTAGTAACTTACCACCTATTCTATATACTTGCAACATCTGCCACATTGCTCCCCTATCCACTGTTCACATATATGCTTCAATGTAAGCACTTGATCTACACATCCCCTACCCACTCTAAAACCTCCTTGCTCATCCGCAATCCTACATTCTGTCTTACCTCTAATTCTTTCAATAACAACCCTACCGTACACTTTTCCTGGTATACTCAGTAAACTAATTCCTCTATAATTTTTACAATCTCTTTTGTCCCCCTTCCCTTTATATAAAGGAACTATACATGCTCTCCGCCAATCCCTAGGTATCTTCCCCTCTTTCATACATTTATTAAACAAAAATACCAACCACTCCAACACTACATCTTCCCCCTGCTTTTAACATTTCTGCTCTTCTTCACTCCTTAAAGATGGTATACCTCCCTGGCCAGTGCATGAAATTACCGCCTCCCTTTCTTCATCGACATTTAAAAGTTCCTCAAAATATTCTCGCCATCTACCCAATACCTCTATCTCCCCATCTACTAACTCCCCTACTCTGTTTTTAACTGACAAATCCATACTTTCCCTAGGCTTTCTTAACTTGTTTAACTCACTCCAAATTTTTTTCTTATTTTCATTAAAATTTCTTGACAGTGCCTCTCCCAGTCTATCATCTGCTCTCCTTTTGCACTCTCTCACCACTCTCTTCACCTTTCTTTTTTTCTCCATACTCTCTAGTCTTCTTATAACACTTCTGCTTTGTAAAAACCTCTCGTAAGCTACCTTTTTCTCTTTTATCACGCCTTTTACTTCATCATTCCACCAATCACTCCTCTTTCCTCCTGCACCCACCCTCCTATAACCATAAACTTCTGCCCCACATTCTAATACTGCATTTTTAGAACTATTCCAACCCTTTTCAACCCCCCCCCCACTACTCATACTTGCACCAGCCCACCTTTCTGCCAATAGTTGCTTATATCTCACCCGAACTTCCTCCTCCCTTAGTTTATACACTTTCACCTCCCTCTTACTCGTTGTTGCCATTTTCCTCTTGTCCTGCCTAACTCTTACTCTAGCCGTAGCTACAACTAAATAATGATCCGATATATCAATTGCCCCTCTATAAACGTGTACATCCTGGAGCCTACCCATCAACCTTTTATCCACCAATACATAATCTAACAAACTACTTTCATTATGTGCTATATCATACCTTGTATATTTATTTATCCTTATCCTCTTCTTCATAAAATATGTATTACTTATTACCAAACCTCTTTCTGCACATAGCTCAATTAAAGGCTCCCTATTTTCATTTACCCCTGGCACCCCAAGTTTACCTACTACTCCCTCCACAATATTTTTGCCCACTTTAGCATTGAAATCTCCAACCACAAGTACTCTCACACTTGGTTCAAAACTCCCCACATATTCACTCAACATTTCCCAAAATCTCTCTCTCTCCTCTACACTTCTCTCTTCTCCAGGTGCATATACGCTTACTATAACCCACTTTTCACATCCAACCTTTATTTTACTCCACATAATCCTTGAAGTAATACATTTATAGTCACTCTTTTCCTGCCATATCTTATCCTTCGACATTATTGCTACTCCTTCTTTAGTTCTAACTCTATTTGAAACCCCTGATTTAATCCCATTTATTCCTCTCCACTGAAACCCTCCCACCCCTTCAGCTTTGTTTCACTTAAAGCCAGGACAACCAGCTTCTTCTCATTCATAACATCCACAATCATCTCTTTCTTATCATTTGCACAACATCCACGCACATTCAGACTTCCCACTTTGACAATTTTCTTCTTCTTATTCTTTTTAGTAATCTTTACAGGAAAAGGGGTTACTAGTCCATTGTTTCCGGCATTTTAGTTGACTTTTACAACACGCATGGCTTACGGAGGAAAGATTCTTATTCCACTTCCCCATGGATATAAAAGGAAAAGTAATAAGACCAAGAACTATTAAGTATAAATAAAAGTGTACATGTATGTGCAGTGTGACCAAAGTGTAAGTAGAAGTAGCAAGATGTACCTGTAATCTTGCATATTTATGAGACAGACAAAAGACACCAGCAATCCTACCATCATGCAAAACAATTACAGGCTTTCGTTTTACACTCACTTGGCAGGGCGGTAGTACCATCCTGGGAGGTTGCTGTATATATATATATATATATATATATATATATATATATATATATATATATATATATATATATATATATATATATATATATAATAAAATAGGGAGGTACCACCTCTAGAACTGTCCTAGGGACCCTCATCCTCAGAGAAAAGAATAAACTTGTCATATACATATATATATATCAATAACAACACTGCTCTAGCCAAGGACTCGAACCCATGCTGCTTTGGCCAGCCTCGTGGTGGGCGAAGACGTATGACGCCCTAATCCACTAGGCCATACGACCCTTTCAAGTAGGGCATCCAGCGGAACTGGATGTTGTACTCCCTACCCAAGGACACACGATGGTGTGAATGAATCTAGGCTAATTTCATTCTAGTCCCTGTTTGGTGTACTAGTTCAACAAGCAGTATTTTATATTATTGTGACCACGAACACTGCACTAGCCAAGGACTCGAATCCATGCTGCTTTGGCCTGCCTCATGATCGTATGGTCCAGTGGATTAGGGAGACATGCGTTTTCGCCCACCATGAGGCAGGCCAAAGCAGCATGGGTTCGACCACTCGTTCGTGGTCATAATATATATATATATATATATATATATATATATATATATATATATATATATATATATATATATATATATATATATATATATATATATATATATATATATATATATATATGGTAAAAAAATGGGACTGTTTAAAAGTCTTGAAGAGGGAAGCAGTAACTTACGTCTTTCGTCCAGAGTTGTTCCAGCTTGGTCAAGCCAAGTATCTCTACCTCGTTGCTCGCCCCCTCCTCAACCCTCGGATGAGACAGCGTCAGCTGCAGACAATAAATGCATTATTATATACATTCGGCATAAGTAGTGATGGAGGTTTGATCCTCTGGTGGCTAATCGTGGGACCAAAGCATTGTGTGGAAAATATTTTAATTTTCCAAAGCTATAGTGCCTAATAGGTGTTTAATGTGTCGATATGGGTCAAAAATGTATTTGAAAATGGAATAGAACCAAGAGTTCCCTCTGCGTCTGCGCGGATGTGCGGGGAAAGAGGTCGACACAGGGCATGGAGGCGGCGGGAGTGTTTTGAATGTAGTGAAGAGGCTGTGAAAACGTGGGACCAGGAAATTGGCGTTCACGGCGGCCTAAGGATTAATATAGGCCTCACTTCATAATAGGAAGTGTCGTAACTGTTCCTGGTGAAGAGTGAGGGAACGTGATTTACGAGACCATCGTAATAAAGTGGTAAAATGAGTGAATAATGGTAGGACCGGTGGTGACTGGCGTGTCGCCATGGACTGTCCCAGGGAAAAATACCCATGGTTTAATCATCACTCATTGGTCTCAGATCTTAATGGAGTGGCCTCCAATGTGTATAATAATTAGGAGACATTAAACCGTATGGTGGGCTAAGAAGTAATCAGTGACAATAACACCAAGTTAAGAGAATGTGTGAAGTGAAATGAGTCGCCGTTCTCAGAGTGAGCATTTGTTTATCTCGTGTTCCTGTCTCGAGGATAGTGAAGTTTTTATGGAGTTACGACTTCTAAACCGGGACAAATCAACGAATACCTCGTCCTGCTGGAATAAGAACCGTGTCGGTGTAGCAGGACATCGAAATGTGATGGTGAATGGAGGAAATAAGGAGCATCAATCACCCACAGTTAAGTAGCCCTTCTAGTTATAGCAGACTGATACTGGCCAGTTAAGTATGTTGTAATTGGATAGGTTATGGGTGATCCAGCTACTTCAAGTGACCACCAGAGAATATCTGGTAAGTGGTGGTATTATATACAACTGTTATGTCCTTGATGGATATATACATGTGCAACCTACCCCCCCCCCCTTCATTCAGTTAAACTAATATAATCTATACAGTCCACAATTAATTAGTAGCGCCGTACTTGTGGGTGCTATCCAATTTATACTGGTCTCGGATAGATATGGATAAGATTATGAGGTCGAAGGGGCCACCTGCAGTGACCAGAGGTGGTTAAGTTTTCTCATATGTCTACACGGGGTGACTACGGTAAACAATATAGTTGTTGTCTCCCAATGATATTACTCGTATGCATATAATGTTGAGGTACGTACAGGTAACACCCCTAGAAAATTTTCCATACATTGCTCTCGCAAGGATGAAAAGAATTCCACTACCCAGGCTTGGAATGCAAGTGCTGGTGTTCCAAACTTAAATGTCTTTTTCAGGAATACAACTTTTACCTTAAAACAGATTCTACTTGGGATAACAAGTATTTTTTCTTGTATATCAAAACATCCTTATTATGAAGAAATAGGGTTTTTAATTAATTATTTTTTATCATGCTCGTAGAAAAGTTACACAGTACATTACAAATTGTCACCGTATCTATGTCGTACTTCCATTCATCACTAAATGTCATGGAACTACAGTCTCAACTTCATGTAACAGCCAACTAGCTAAACAACGACGACGAAGGACGACCAATACGGCTTTTATTTCCACTAGGTTAGTAATGACGGAGGCTTTAACTGGAAAACAGATGGCGATGACTTCAGTAACTTCGGCGACAGCGACAGTGGTAGAGTTCCTGGGACTGGGGTGTCAGCAGTGGGATTGAAGAGTGGGTAGAGAGACAGCAATGGGCTTGGTTGCTGCAAGAATGAAATACATCTGTGTCCACATGCGTGAATGATTCCGAGATATGTGCATCAGATGGACTGTGGTGATTGAAGATTCTCAGCATTCTTTTAGTGACTACTTAGAGAACTTCATTTTTCGAAGATTGTTCAGCTTGAAGATAGCGTTAGCAACTCTGTTGAAAGTTTCTCGGTTGGAGGCGTTTTGTGGATGGGAAAATTCGAAACATGTGAGGATTTTCTTGGTGATTCTTCCCTGAAGGACGGATGATGGGTCCATAGTATTAGGGTCATGGTGACATGTGACAGCGGCGTATTATGTTTCATTGGAAGTCTGGGATTCGGAATTTCTTAATGACGATTTTCTTCCTCGTGGAGCATTTTTCAGCAAGGGTGAAGTGGTTGCTTCTGCAGTTTAGGCACTTTGGTTGGCCAGTCTTAGGATATTCAGGTATGTGACCATCAGTACTGCAGATGGAAGAGAGATTTTTTTATTCTTGAGAGGACAATCTTTAATGATGTAGGTACAGAAGCGCGTCCATTATGGAGTGATCAGACAGCAGTGTTGAGGCTTGATGTTGCGTGGTTTAATATGGTAATGTCAGATGCGTGTCCATTACTTATAATATTATTGGCCAACAGCTGCTTGAATGCATGTACAACTCTCTCACTGGTTGAATAAACCATAGTCAAGCAGTCAGTCAACACCCTGGACTCAAACCGAATTCTAATAGACAAATAAAGAGTGGCCAAGCAGTTAATCATCCTCGTGCTTGTGAACACAATAATAATAATAATAATAATAATAATAATAATAATAATAATAATAATAATAATAATTATTATTATTATTATATTATTATATTATAATAATTATTATTATTATTATTATTAACAATAAAAATAATAATAATAATAATTATTATTATTATTATTATTATTATTAAGAATGATAATAATTATTATAATAAAGTTTTAAACACTATTATGAAAACTTAATTCACGTTGACCTTTATGAGGGGCGATGCTTACCATGGTTGGGTAAGAAAAGGGAGACAGGCAGGCATTGGTCACCATGGCCTTGCGACCCTTTCTGAGCAGCATCTTGTAGAGTCGAGGATTAGGCTCCACCAGCAGCCCCGTCCACCCCAGGTTCTTCTCCAGCTGTAACGTCAGTGAGTGGTACTCCCCATCACCGGCGCCCAGGTCCACGAAGACACCGCCTTGCTGCCAACCCAAGAACCAAGTGATCATCGAAGTGTAATAAAAAAAATGCAAATAAAAAATATGAAAACCGTTATCAACCAACATACGGTAACATTTATGTGAATTATTATTATTGTTATGTAAGCAAATCACCTGCTGGAGGCTTACTTGAATTATTACCTGGAAGTAATTTGGGTGAGGTAAGTGGGACTTAAGTTACAGCAGGTCGCCTAACTGTAATTCCCTCTATCCCCACTCCCTACCACTCTCACAAAAAGCTATATGTCTAAGCATTTTATCCACAATGGTATATTATAGACTATTCTGGAAAAATACCCTGACTTTACTCCATGTAAATAAAGCATTACCACATGTGTGTGTGTACTCACCTAGTTGAGGTTGCAGGGGTCGAGTCCTAGCTCCTGGCCCCGGTGTGTGTGTGTGTGTGTGTGTGTGTGTGTGTGTGTGTGTGTGTGTGTAGTGTGTGTGTGTGTGTGTGTGTGCGTGTGTTGGTGTGTGTGTGTGTGTGTGTGTGTCTGTCTGTCTGTGTCTGTGTATGTGTGCTTGTGTGTGTGTTTGCATGTGTATTTGTGTACTCATATGTGTGAGTGCTTGTACTCGTGTGTGTACATATACTCGTGTGTGTGTGTGTGTGTGTGTACTCACCTAGTTGTACTCACCTAGTTGAGGTTGCGGGGGTCGAGTCCGAGCTCCTGGCCCCGCCTCTTCACTGATCGCTACTAGGTCACTCTCCCTGAGCCATGAGCTTTATCATACCTCTGCTTAAAGCTATGTATGGATCCTGCCTCCACTACATCGCTTCCCAAACTATTCCACTTACTGACTACTCTGTGGCTGAAGAAATACTTCCTAACATCCCTGTGATTCATCTGTGTCTTCAGCTTCCAACTGTGTCCCCTTGTTGCTGTGTCCAATCTCTGGAACATCCTGTCTTTGTCCACCTTGTCAATTCCTCTCAGTATTTTGTATGTCGTTATCATGTCCCCCCTATCTCTCCTGTCCTCCAGTGTCGTCAGGTTGATTTCCCTTAACCTCTCCTCGTAGGACATACCTCTTAGCTCTGGGACTAGTCTTGTTGCAAACCTTTGCACTTTCTCTAGTTTCTTCACGTGCTTGGCTAGGTGTGGGTTCCAAACTGGTGCCGCATACTCCAATATGGGCCTAACGTACACGGTGTACAGGGTCCTGAATGATTCCTTATTAAGATGTCGGAATGCTGTTCTGAGGTTTGCTAGGCGCCCATATGCTGCAGCAGTTATTTGGTTGATGTGCGCTTCAGGAGATGTGCCTGGTGTTATACTCACCCCAAGATCTTTTTCCTTGAGTGAGGTTTGTAGTCTCTGACCCCCTAGACTGTACTCCGTCTGCGGCCTTCTTTGTCCTTCCCCAATCTTCATGACTTTGCACTTGGTGGGATTGAACTCCAGGAGCCAATTGCTGGACCAGGTCTGCAGCCTGTCCAGATCCCTTTGTAGTTCTGCCTGGTCTTCGATCGAGTGAATTCTTCTCATCAACTTCACGTCATCTGCAAACAGGGACACCTCAGAGTCTATTCCTTCCGTCATGTCGTTCACAAATACCAGAAACAGCACTGGTCCTAGGACTGACCCCTGCGGGACCCCGCTGGTCACAGGTGCCCACTCTGACACCTCGCCACGTACCATGACTCGCTGCTGTCTTCCTGACAAGTATTCCTTGATCCATTGTAGTGCCTTCCCTGTTATCCCTGCTTGGTCCTCCAGTTTTTGCACCAATCTCTTGTGTGGAACTGTGTCAAACGCCTTCTTGCAGTCCAAGAAAATGCAATCCACCCACCCCTCTCTCTCTTGTCTTACTGCTGTCACCATGTCATAGAACTCCAGTAGGTTTGTGACACAGGATTTCCCGTCCCTGAAACCATGTTGGCTGCTGTTGATGAGATCATTCCTTTCTAGGTGTTCCACCACTCTTCTCCTGATAATCTTCTCCATGATTTTGCATACTATACATGTCAGTGACACTGGTCTGTAGTTTAATGCTTCATGTCTGTCTCCTTTTTTAAAGATTGGGACTACATTTGCTGTCTTCCATGCCTCAGGCAATCTCCCTGTTTCGATAGATGTATTGAATATTGTTGTTAGGGGTACACATAGCGCCTCTGCTCCCTCTCTCAATACCCATGGGGAGATGTTATCTGGCCCCATTGCCTTTGAGGTATCTAGCTCACTCAGAAGCCTCTTCACTTCTTCCTCGGTTGTGTGCACTGTGTCCAGCACTTGGTGGTGTGCCCCACCTGTGTGTGTGTGTGTGTGTGTGTGTGTGTGCGTGTGTGTGTGTGTGTTTGCTTGTGTGTGTGTGTGTGTGTGTGTGTCTGTGTGTGTGTGTGTTTGTGTGTGTGTGTGTGTGTGTGTTGTTTGTGTGTGTGTGTGTGTGTGTGTGTGTGTGTGTGTGTGTGTGTGTGTGTGTGTGTGTGTACTCACCTAATTGTGGTTGCAGGGTCGAGACTCAGCTCCTGCGCCCTCCTCTTCACCGACCGCTACTAGGTCCTCTCTCCCCCTGCTCCATGAGCTTTATCATACCTCGTCTTAAAACTATGTATAGTTCCTGCCTCCACTACATCGCTTGCCAGACTATTCCACTTCCTAACTTCTCTATGACTGAAGAAATACTTCCTAACATCCCTTTGACTCATCTAAGTCTTCAGCTTCCAATTGTGACCCCTTGTTTCTGTGTCCCATCTCTGGAACATCCTGTCTCTGTCCACCTTGTCTATTCCATGCAGTATTTTGTATGTCGTTATCATGTCTCCCCTGACCCTCCTGTCCTCCAGTGTTGTCAGAACGATTTCCCTTAACCTTTCTTCACAGGATATTCCCCTTAGCTCTGAAACTAGCCTTGTTGCAAACCTTTGGAGTCTGTGGTGTGGGGTGTGGGGGCAGAGGGCCTATGGGGGGTTTCAGTGGGGGTGGGGGTAGTGGTGAGGGGGATGGGGGAAGAGGGGCCTATGGGGGGTTACAATGGGGGAGGGGGTTGTGGTGAGGGGGATGGGGATAGAGGGTACAGTGTGTGAGTTGCTGTGGGTTACTGTGAGGGTGGGGTTTGTGGTGAGGGGGATGGGGGGAGAGGGTACATTGTGTGGGTTACTGTGGGTTTCTGTGGGGGTGGGATTTGAGCTGAGGGGGATGTACGGGTTACTGAGGGTTACTGTGGGGGTGGGGTTTATGCAGAGAGGGATGTGTGGGTTACTGTGGGTTTCTGTGGGGGTGGGGTTTGTGCTGAGGGGGATGGGGGCAGAGGGTGCAGTGAGTGGGTTTTGGGTTAGGTCATTTGGTTGCTTTGGGACTGCCATGGTTGTGTTCTTTCTGTGGATGGTACTGGAGGGGGTTGTGTTTGTTCTTCCACGTGGGCCTGATTTCTCCTGCTCTCCACCTTCCTTGCCACCCATTCCTCCTTGCGACGTTGCACCCTCTCTTTCAGTGTCATCCTTTCTTCTTGTGTTCTGTCTCGGTCGAGGTACACACTCTGGAATACCTGATTGTCCCTTAGGCATGCTTTCTCCTGCAGGATCCGGTTTCGAGCTGATTCTGCCTTGAAAATCATTTTGACTGTGTGTGTGTGTGTGTGTGTGTGTGTGTGTGTGTGTGTGTGTGTGTGTGTGTGTGTGTGTGTGTGTGTGTCTGTCTGTCTGTCTGTCTGTCTGTCTGTGTCTGTGTATGTGGGCTTGTGTGTGTGTTTGCATGTGTATTTGTGTACTCATATATGTGTGAGTGCTTGTACTCGTGTGTGCATGTATACTCATGTACTCACCTATTTGTACTCACCTATTTGTGGTTGCAGGGGTCGAGTCCTAGCTCCTGGCCCCGCCTCTTCACCGGTTGCTACTGGGCCCTCTCTCTCCCCGCTCCATGAGCTTTATCAAACCTCGTCTTAAAACTGTGTATGGTTCCTGCCTCCACTACGTCATTTTCTAGGCTATTCCACTGCCTTACAACTCTATGACTGAAGAAATACTTCCTACTATCTCTCTGACTCATTTGTGTCTTCAACTTCCAATTGTGGCCTCTTGTTTCTGTGTCCCCTCCCTGGAACATCCTGTCTTTGTCCACCTTGTCTATTCCACGCAGTATTTTATATGTCGTTATCATGTCTCCCCTGACCCTCCTGTCCTCCAGTGTCGTCAGGCCGATTTCCCTTAATCTTTCTTCATAGGACATTCCCCTTAGCTCTGGAACTAACCTTGTCGCAAACCTTTGTACTTTCTCTAGTTTCTTGACGTGCTGCATACTCCAGTATGGGCCTGACATACACGGTGTACAGTGTCTTGAATGATTCCTTACTAAGGTATCGGAAAGCTGTTCTCAGGTTTGCCAGGCGCCCATATGCTGCAGCAGTTATCTGATTGATGTGTGCTTCCGGAGACATGCTCGGTGTTATACTCACCCCAAGATCTTTCTCCTTGAGTGAGGTTTGCAGTCTTTGGCCACCTAGCCTATACTCTGTCTGGGGTCTTCTGTGCCCTTCCCCTATCTTCATGACTTTGCATTTGGCAGGATTAAATTCGAGAAGCCATTTGCTGGACCAGGTGTCCAGTCTGTCCAGGTCTCTTTGAAGTCCTGCCTGGTCTTCATCAGATTTAATTCTCCTCATTAACTTCACATCATCTGCAAACAGGGACACTTCTGAATCCAACCCTTCCGTCATGTCGTTCACATATACCAAAAATAGCACTGGTCCTAGGACTGACCCCTGTGGGACCCCGCTCGTCACAGGTGCCCACTGTGATACATCATTACGTACCATGACTCGTTGTTGCCTCCCTGTCAGGTATTCCCTGATCCATTGCAGTGCCCTTCCTGTTATATGCGCCTGATGCTCTAGCTTCTGCACTAATCTCTTGTGAGGAACTGTGTCAAAGGCCTTCTTGCAGTCCAAGAAGATGCAATCAACCCACCCCTCTCTCTCTTGTCTTACTTCTGTTATTTTATCGTAGAACTCCAGAAGGTTTGTGACACAGGATTTGC